CCCTACAAAAATATTTTGACACCTAAAACTCTACTAAACCTAAAAAAATAATTTTGAAAAAGTGGTATTTTTGTAAAGATTTTAATTTTTATATTTTTGTAAAAAATTTCGAAAGTGGGCACTTGCCAAAAGTGTGGCACTTGCCAGCACTTGAAAAAAGTAAAGTGATATTTTTTGAATTTTTTCTAATTTTTTAGTTTAAAGACTTCGATTTTTTTTTTAAATGAGCTTAATCATTTTTTTACCCGATTTTTTCGTTAGTATATGAAAATATCTATATCACAGATTTTTGTTTATATTTTAAAACAAAAATTGCCTTCAGCGTAAAACTTGTAGCTTTATATGACGATATTCTACTAAGACATGCACGTGCATTCATGTAGGAGGACGATGGACTAGGTGGAAGGAGGAGAAAGAAGAAGGGCATAACGGAAAAGATTAAGGAGAAGATGCCAGGTCATCATGGGTCCCACCAGACGCCCACCACCACGGTTTATGATACCACCGGCACCGGCACAGGCGGCATCGCCGGAGTTCAACACGAGAAGAAGGGTATGTTGGAGAAGATCAAAGAGAAGCTTCCCGGTGGTCATCATTAGGTTTAGACATATCGTTTTGATCATCTTGCTTACGTAATTGATCAACTTGCTTAGGTAAACAATAAATTGTGTCTTCTAAACCAAAAAAAAACACAATAAATTGTGTAATAATATAATGACGTCGCTTTGTAAGGTTTACGTGAATGGTCCTTGCATGTCTAATGTAATTGACGGGGTAATGAATGTATATCTAGGGAATTTTGCTAAATTGACAATTAGTGTTTTTGCAAAATAATTTTTGTCTTTTTTGTACCAATTTTTTTTTCTATTATTCTTTGATTAATATTGGAAATTACAAAAAAATAGTTTTAATAATTTTATAAAATTAGAAAAATAAAAAATAGTAATCTATAAGGCATATAGATTAATGTTTATATTTTTTATTTTTTAAACTATGATAGAAAAAAAAAAAAAATTTCTCATGGTCGAATTACTACAAGAAAACAGACATTTAGCGTCAGCGTAATTCGACGCTAAAAACCCTTAGCGTCGAATTAGTGTCGAAAATGATTTCGCCGCTAAACCCTCGACGCTAATTAACTTTCGACGCTAAATCAACGCTAATTTTGCGTCGAAACTAAATTCGACGCTAATATTTCGACGCTAATTCGACGCTAATTAGCATCGATTTAGCGTCACAGTGTTTCGATGCAACAGATCGACGCTAATTCGACGCTATTTAGCATCGATTTAGCGTCACATTGTTTCGATGCAACAGATCGACGCTAATTCGACGCTATTTAGCATCGATTTAGCGTCACAGTGTTTCGATGCAACAGATCGACGCTAATTCGACGCTATTTAGCATCGATTTAGCATCACAGTATTTCAATGCAACAAATCGACGCTAAATAGCATCGATTTAGCGTCGA